AAGTTGCATTTGTCTTGTATGCCTGTGATGTGAACATTTTTTTTTTTTACCGTTAAAAGACATGCCTCGCTTTCTTTACCATAAATTTTCTCACCTCACTTTCTTTACCATAAATTTTATCACCTCACTTTCTTTACCATAAATCATCACTTTAACCATTTTTATCACCTCACTTTCTTTACCATAAATTTTATCACCTCACTTTCTTTACCATAAATTTTATCACCTCACTTTCTTTACCATAAAAACCTCACTGTTCTTTCTGTTTTATCACCTCACTTTCTTTTACCATAAATTTTTATCACCTCACTTTCTTTACCATAAATTTATCACCTCACTTTCTTTACCTTATCACCATCACCTCACTTTCTTTACCATAAATTTATCACCTCGCTTTCTTTACCATAAATTTTATCACCTCACTTTCTTACCTTTATCACCTCACTTTCTTTACCATAAATTTTATCACTCACTTTCTTTACCATAAATTTTATCACCTCACTTTCTTTACCATAAATTTTATCACCTCACTTTTCTTTACCATAAATTTTATCACCTCACTTTCTTTACCATAAACTTTATCACCTCACTTTCTTTACCATAAATTTTATCACCTCACTTTCCTTACCATAATTTATACCTCAACCATAAATTTTAACCTCACTTTCTTTACCATAAATTTTATCACCTCATCTTTACCATTTTATCACCTCACTTTCTTTACCATAAATTTTATCACCTCACTTTCTTTACCATAAATTTTATCATTTCTATCATCGTTGTTTTTAAGTCTTTCCTCGAGTTCCATCAAAGTTCGAAGCCTCGACACTGCTTCGAATCAATGAATATAAAAAAGTATTACGAATAATATCTATAAAAAAAAACAATACAAGACCAGTCCACATCTTCAAGGGGGTCGACCTGTTCTCGGAAATCGGAGTTTAATACAGTTCCTTTAACCTCCCGAGTTTAAGAAGCAAGAAAAAAGGTAATCATGATTCCATTCGCCTTCCATTTAATCTTAAAGAAATCGAAGCATTGGAATAAACCAGAAGATGATTTACTATATAAAAAAAGCAAAAAGCAATGACTATATTCGCATTCCATTTAATCAAAGAAATCGTAGTTGAATAAACCAGGAGATAATTCAACACATAAAAAAAAACAAAAACAAAAAACAATTACTAAATTCGCCTTCCATTTAATCTTAAAGAAATAAACCAGGAGATAATCTAATACATAAAAAAAACAAAAAAAACAAAAAACAAAGTCAACTCTTAAAGACGAGAAAATCCCCCCAAACAGGAAGACGATCTGTCCTCCTGTCTTGAAGACGTTCTTAAAGAGACAATTCCTTGGGCTCTTGACGGCACCTTTAGGAACCCCCGATGACCTTCCGAGAGAGAAAGACCCCGCAAAGGTCACGAAGACGTCCTTTTAAAGAGGCGAGACTGTTTTTTTCTCTCCCTTTTTTTTTTGTAAGTAAAGATTCACTTCAGGGAGAAAGATGCTCAGGTCGCGGAAGGCGTCTTCGAAGTTGGCTTAAAAAAGTGATGGAGGAGGAGGAAAGGAGGAGGAGGAGGGGGAGGAGAAGTGG